TTATCTTTTTATTGAATTTTTGCTGTAAGTCCAGGAAATTTTTCCACGAAAAAAAATTGTTGAGAAATGAACCACTGAATTTAATATGCTGCTAGGAATAAAAAAAGCTAAATGCAAATGAGCTGAACTTGATTCTCATAAAGTAGAAATACGGATCAGCTCAGATGCTTTATGTCCAATATGTTTGCTCGCTTTTAAGACATTACATTATACCGAAGATAGGAGTTTATGCTGATCTAATCACCTGACGGTATATCATCTATGGCTTTCCCAGTCCGATTTAAATCTCAGTTCCGAGATCGAATATTTCAAGTGTTTGTTAAGATGGTATGAAACAGAAGACAGTGATGGCAAAGTCGAGGAGAGCAGAGAGAGGTCATGATGTCACAATTCCTGGTGTGAGGGGAAGTGGTGGAGAGTGTGGATTTGCTGAAGAAGAGACACTGGTCATGGCGTTTGGATGCTTTCCCCTTCGTTATTGTAGGTGTTTGGCTTCTAGCTGTAGTACCTAGCTTAAACATTGAGGATGCTTGAGAGTTCCTGGTGCCCTTGTCTCCCTTCATGTTCTCATCTTCCTATTCACTGTTTGGTCCTTTAATTTCAAGTGCTTTGTTCAGTATACCAAGGTGAATGTCATACAGCGAACATATCTTTATAAAGTCAATCCAGCTAAGTTCTCTGGAATATAGAAGCTCTGCTTCTTTACCTTCGGAAGCCGGCTGGTTCGCTGTTCTCTAAAGATCTGGAGAGATTTAATTTGATTTCATGAAGCAACAGTACATCTATTCAAAGGAGAAAGAACTTTCAGCAGGCTTCCTTATCCTTTAGAGGAGACATTCGATACTAACTCTTGAACACTGGCCATGGAACTGAAGCTAAAGCTGTTGCTGCAAGCCTGCAACTGAGAAGTGGGACTGGAATGTCTTCGGATATCCTCAGCCACAATTTCATAAGCTAATTAAGGAGCAGCGTGTGGAGTCTTTTGTATTCTAGGGCTTTCATGTTGCTAAGATGAACACTGGTATTGCAGTTTGTTCACGAGGGATGGGATATTCTGCACACAACCTTCCCGTATCCCATTTGCTGGGAAGGTTTATTTTTGTCGTTTTGGCAAGACTGGAACATTAACATCCAATGACATGTAGTTCTCAAGGGTTGGTGGGTTGACTGACAGTGAGGACTTAGAAAGAGAAATGATTCCAGCTCTTACTCTGGAAATTTTTGCATCTTGCCATTTTCTGTTTTTTTGGGACAGTCTGGTGATGATCCTAAGGTTGCGCTTAAAGGGATTGATTAGGCATCTAAATCAATTAAAAAAACATGCCAAAAAAAGTGGAGGTGATGCACCTGAGAGTGTAGCGTAGTGGTCAATGAAGTGGGTGCAAACCTTGTAGACCAGGTTTCATATCCCAGAGTGAATTAACAGTAGGCGATTTCTTCCAATCTGTCTAAGCCTTGGTGGTAGAGTTATTGGTATCTTTGTTGGTGGGAGGTAGCAGGTACCCGATGGAATGGTCGAGGTGCACACAAGCTAGCTTGGACATCACCTCTGTCAAAAAAAGAAAAAAAGGTGGAGGTGATGCTGTTCAGACTGTGCGCTTAAAGGATTGATTAGAGGCTCGTACTTTATAATTCATTTGCTTATTTGTTGTCTTTTTATACCTGTTTCTTCTAATTTCAACAGTTAGGCACATTGGTTGTTAAAATTCTCTCTTGTGATTTTAGTAGCTGATTTACCTCTTCTTGACTAATTTATGGCATCTCTTGCTGTAGGTATAAAGATGCTACCAAAACTGCTTTCAAGTCCTCAACTCGACTTGAATGCATGATGCAAGATTATCCTAAAACGCTGCCTCCATCAGCTAGGGTTGGATTCACTGTAAGTTCATACTGCTTTTGGCTTCTGATTTTGTTACATACGTTGTGAGTCATCTATGGTCAAGTTATCCAAGTGTGGAGATCACAATGCTTCTTACAATGACTCAGGTGATGGATGCTTGGCTTGCTTATGCACCTGTGAAAAACAACCCAGAAGATGCTGCCAAGGTATGATGAGAGGTTATTGAAATAATTTTATCCATCATATGTGGAGAAATGATTTCAGTAAATTGGCAAGTTTCTTTAAATTGGGGCTGGCATAACATTTTGATCCTCATGACAAAAGCCATCTTCCCTACTTCTAGTTCTTGCTTCTCATCGAAAGCTCTGATGATCTAGTGCTGGCTATATATAACAAATGTATTTTTCTCTGCTGGTTGGGTGTGGACCCCACCTGAGCTCCATTCTGAAAAATTTCAGTACAGAGGCCATAGGACTGAAGAATTGATGCTTCTGGCTTTTTCTTTCTTTTAATTCGACGTTTAGTTTTGTGTCAAATAGTTACCAGAAAATTTTCCAATTTAGGATGTTATCAAGTGTTTTCTCAAATGATTTCTGCTTCAAGCTCTTTACTGAGTTATTTAGATCTTATGCATACTCGTCAGATACTGTAATTTGGTTGTGTAGGTATTTCGTATCACAACCCAAGCATGTTTGTGGAGGCAGCATTTCCCTGTGGGATCCGAGATGACATTGTTGAATCTCTTTCTTGCATATGCAATCATAAGCTTATAATTAATTGGCATGCTTTGCTAAAATTTTCCCTCAAAGTAAAAAATGCAGTGGCATATTCCTTCTACTTTACTTTTTCCTTCGTCGTTTATAGCCACTATCCTAAGCCCTCTTTCACCAACTAAGAAAGTTGAAACAGCTTACTGACATTCTTAAGTCTTATGTTCTGACTTGTATTTCTTTGGCTTGGCATTTTTCGAAGTCTTTCTCAACAGTTGTTACTAACAATAACTCATAGGTAGTTATTGCTCTTGACGTGATTTGTTGTGGTTCACTAACTATTTTTTAATTGTCTCCTTTAAAATGATAGGTGCCGAAAGGAAATCCATATCACAGTGCCACTTCAGGAGAAATGGCCATATATCGCTCTCATAGCCTCATTCTAAGAAAGGTATTTCTTTCCTTCTGGGAATTCAAGTGAAAAGTTGAACTTTTCAGAGTAGTTCTTTCTTGACCTACGGGTATTGATACATTATGCACCAATTTTTGTGCAAACATCTACAGGATATAATATAAGGGAAAAGATTGCTGGAATCTGAAAGAGGCCTTTTAGGTTTTTACCATGCCCTTATAGTTTTTAAGTAACATTTAAACCAGCGGAATGACAATAGAAAAAAAAGACAAAGCAGAAGTTAAAAAGAAGAGTTGCTGCTCATCACTGGTTAGAGAACAGTATATCAGAACATTTTTATTTATAGTCATGTGCTGAACGAGTGGTTAGCAAGTCCAAACATAAGGTTACAGTTATGTACATTAACTTGGGTTATTACTGAAGATCCTTTTGTTTGGCCTCATAATAAAGCAATTTTTGGTCCTGCAACCTACTGTTTTCAGACGTTCACCTTTGGGCGTGTTCCTTGACAAAAAGATAGGAGAAATTTTGATTCTGAAACTTCTAATTGTGATAATATGAAGATAACTATCAACTCTTGAAACACTTTCCTAACTTTTTCCTTTCGTAATAGCCAGTGCCACAGATGAGTTCAGTTGGTAAACCTGTGTCGATCTAGTTGTGTGCATCAGTTACACTACATCTCTTTTTATTACAGGCTGGTGTCAAGATAGATGGTCCGGTTATTCAAGTCTTTAACGGACAGGAGGTGGAAGTATGGTCTCGAGTTGTGTGGAAGCCTAAATGGGCGCTTACTTTCTCGGAAGTAAAAAGCAAAGTCAGTGGAAACTGCTCCATTTCACAAAGATCTACAATGGCAATCAAGGGGCGAGATATTGCCCTTGAGGATCTTTCCCTTGATGGAGCTCTCATTACTGAGGCTGTCGATGGTGCTGAGGTATGTCTCAAGTCGTTGATCAAGTTCTGATCTGGATGGCATTATAGGGGTGTATCAGCACCCCTGATATGTCTTTTAATTGATATATGAGTGCCTATATGCTTGTAATTCGTCCTCCCCCCGGGTTCAACTTTTGTGATGAACATATCAGTTTGATCTTTGATACACTTACTGAGAATCATTTGTACAGGTGAAAGTGGGAGGTTCTGTGCAGAACAAGGGTTGGACAATTGAAAATGTCGACTGTAAGGATACTTCAATACCAGAAGAAATAAGAATCAGGGGTTTCAGATTCAACAAGGTTGAGCAGTTGGAGAAAACATATACCGAGCCCGGAAAATATTTTTTGAAGCCATAAGGTTGACACATCTGTACTGATTCAAAATTCTTTAGGAGCTCTGAGGTTTAGCTTGGTTAAACTGTGGATATTTATTGCAGATTCTGTTGCTTACGTTATGTTTCAAGGTTTTTTGTAACATTGTGACATAGGTGCTGGCTGTTATTTTGCCCCCAATCATTTGTAACTTAGTAAACTGGTGAAACATTTAGAAAATAATTCTTGATTTTTTTTAGCTTGGAAACAGAATAAGGTTGATTAATTAGTAATAAGTCCTTTTGAAAATTGTGTTGATTGCTTTTGAAGAAGTTTTCTTGCATTCAAGGTATGCTTGACGCTTATTATAAGCACTATTAGCAGACGTCACTCTATGCTTTGGATATACTTCCTCTGTCTGGGTAAATTAACACTAAATTGACTTGAAAGATTATCAAGGGAGTTCCATCGTTCAGTCTTGGCAGTTGAAAAGAAGATACTTGGAAAAGCTACTAAAAAGGGAGCCGGAAGTTGAGCTTGTGATTTTCAATTGCAGTACTCTATCTGATGATAGGCTCTTCCACTGTTTTATGACTTGCAGATCTTGTATTTCGAACTTGGAGAAGATGAATGTCCCTGGCGAATAAATGGATGCAAGGAACCTTTCTTTTTTCCTGCTTGTAGTGTTTAATTATAAAGTCTTCGACTATTTTATGACTTGCAGATCTTGTAATTCGGGTTTGGAGAAGAAAAGTCCCTGGCGAATAATAGCTGCAATGAGGGCTTCCCCCCCCCCCCCCTCCTTCTATTTTTGATATATGGAGTTGCACAAACTGACCAATAGGTGGCTGCTGGGAGGCCATTTATTAGGGGAAAGGAAAACGTCCATTTAAGATTGCCACAGCTTTAGCTTTAGCACTTCTTGAATGGTTACTTGATTGTTTTGATGTTTATCAATGGTTGTTTCCCATACGTGGTTATGCAATTTGCCCGATATTGCCAGGTTTAATCCGTGTTTGTATTGCTCAAGGTGGATCCTATCTTGGCAAGGAATGAGTAGGATGTTACTGGGATTTGATCTTCTTCAACCATAACATGAGGATCCATGTTTTAAAAGGTAAAGCTGGAACATACTGTATCTTGCCTCGGCACAAAGCATCCTCTAAGCGCCACAAGGAAATCATGGAAGGCTAAAATCTCATGGTTCTGACGTTTCGAAAGGGTGGGGCATTTGTGCCATGCATGCTTTATGCTTTTGACTGTTTGCCCAATTGCTGATGAGCAAACTGGGAGCTGAACTCCAGTTGGTAATGAGAAACAATACTGGAGAAGAAGAACCTGGGTTCTTCGCTTCAGGCACAACAAAATGTATTTGTTGCAATGAGGTATGGGTTCCCAAAGTTTGTGCACAGACGTTGTTTCAGAGTAAATCATTCAGTTAAAGATGATGCACTTTTATCACAATTTAATGGAAAGACAAGAGGGATGACACCAAGGAGATTGAAACTAAGGTATCTACTTCTGTCATAGCTTGTCATTCAGAAAGGACAAGTTCGATTCTGATAGTGCTAGTGCTCTAATCAATTGTGAATTAGAAGCTACTATGGCAATGCAGGTGATGCAAATCAAGCAATGGCGATGATAACCAGATTACGAGAAGAGAAGGCAACACTAGAGATGGAAACCCTGCAATGCCTCATGGAAGAGCAAGCTGAATGTGACAGTGAGGCATTACAGAAAGCAAATGATCTGCATGTACGTTGAGAAGAGAAAGCAACTCAAGGCCAAAAATTGAAAGAATTTTAACTAATTTTGTTTGCAGTTGACTGTTTTCGTCCAATTATAGACGCAATACAATGTCTCGCTCTCATAGATGACCCTTGTGTTAGACGCAGAACTTGAACTTCAAAACAGAATTTTTGGGACGTCAATATCTTGTAGGATCAAGGATGTAGCTAGGCCAAGTTACGAGTCCCCTAGAAGGGAAACGAGTTGACCAAGTAGAAGCAATATGCAAAAAAAGAAGTCTAAATGTTCCTATCAACATATAGAAATTAGAAATCAAAGACAACTGGTGATGTTAACTTGAACCTTTGGCTGCTCTAATATTAATAGGTTAAATTGTATGACCAAGTCATAATCTTCAGATTGTTTGATTGTCGTAACACATTACGTCGGCACTTAATGCCTATACTTCTCATTCTTTTTCAAAAATAGCGATACGGTGAGAATGGAAAGTTTAGGTCTATTGCAGTTAGGTAGTATCAGATCTTAGGATCTTGAGATTTATGAATAACATTTCTGGGGCATCTTGAATGTTGTCTCCGAGTCATGTCTGTAATATGCCAGATTAATAAGGGAAGGGTAGACTTGTCATTACATGTATATAAGGAGGGCATATTAGTCATTGAATGGACAAAAATTAGTTACGCAGTTAGTGGGAATTCCTGTATCGCTCATTACATTGAAGATGAAATAATATCTCTCCCTATCCCTCTTTAATCTGCTATTTTCGCATTGCTATAAACTCTTCAGAAGCTCTTCTTCCACTTGAAGCTTGTTAGATTTACAGGTTTGGTACTTAATCAGTTAAGTACATGAAATGTCACAATTTATGTATCATATTTTGGTAGGGTAAAGATATTAAGAATGAAATCTGGATGAGTTATTTGAGGTTGTTAAAAAGTTTGAAAAGGGTAGAAGTAAACCAAATTTGGGTTTAATACATGAAATTTGACTTCTTTGAGATGATTAATTTGTTATTCATGGGAAGCTATGACTTCCTTTTGTAAGCGATAAAGCTTGTCTATATGCTTAACTTTGTAGCGCAATTTTCTATTAATTTCTCTATTCTTCTTTCTAATATTTGAGCTTTAGTTCTTTGTAGTACCAAACGCAAAAGAATATAAGTAGTTAATATTGGGCTTAACAAAATTGTTTGATGAGTAGTCTATGTTGATGACATTTAATTGACTAGTAATAATTCTTTGCATACTTTCACTCCATCACTTTCTAAGGGTCGAAACCTATAAAAAATATACGTGCATCTACAAATTCAAGTAGTAGAAACTTTTTATCTTTGGTTACGATATATTCCCAAATGGAATATATTTATGAAAAAGAGAAACTTTGAAATTGATTTGCAGTATTCAGAAGTCCTATCATTCGAACTCATAAATAAAAGAAAAGAAAGAGAACAAAAGCAAGAAAGAAGACAAGAAAACCCGTGCGTAAAAGCGAAAGGCTGCCTCTTCTGTGCCATCACTTTGATGACATGCAGAAAAACACTGCCGAGAAACATAAATTCGACAAACAACACTTTTTAGTCCCTCTATTTTGATTCAAAATAAGTGTCTTTTTACATAATTAAAAAAAAATTAATTTTATTTTTTTAAAATTTATCCTTATTTGTACATATCCCAATACAATTTTTAATTAAGGATAATTTTGTCAAATTATCTTTTTTTTCTTTAGGAGTTAATATTTTCTCAAGGGTATATCAAATATCAAAAATTCACTCGAAGGAATACTCAGTTAAATGTAAAACAGATGGATGAAAGGGACAAAAGTTGCTTATGAATTGGACCCAAAACCAAAAACTGGATTCATTCAGCTTTCAATTTTTTTCATTCATGTCACTTCTTTTTCACAAGGGAAGAAATTGAATTAAAAAAATGATGTAGATGGCGAATGTTACTCTCATCATTTTACTTTGTTTTTTACACTATTTTTTTATTAGTTTATTTCAAAAGAATTTTATATTTTTTTAATGAGAAATTTCTATAACCTCATAAATATTATGGGCATATATTTTTGTTTTTGCTTTTATTAAAACTATCAAATTTAAATTTTATTAAACTAAATCTATGTCCAAACACTACTCAAATGCTAACCACATAGTACAAACGATGAACAATATACGTAAGATCACAAGTTATAAAAAAATTCTTTTTTCGTGAATTTCGTGCCGAATGAACCATAGCCAAACAAATTGAAACAAATAAGTAGAATATACTTTATCGATCTCCTGTAAAGCTGGAGGAATAAAATAACCACTTTTCGGGAACTCACTTCCCCAATTTTTTACTACTCACCCTTAAATCTTAATATTAAAGTAATGAACAGTTCTCCAAAATCAGCATTGTTAGAAAGACAAGATTTCTTCTCAATGGCTAAGATGCTTAACTTAATACAACAAGAAAGGAAGGAATATACTTAAGAAATTAAACCACTCTAAGAATGCCCCAGAGCCGTACATATCTTAATTAATCAGGATATCTCTTCTTGATTATGCTCTACTTTTTCAGACAAAAGTTGGCTATTTTCAGCTTATAGCAAAATAAACATCTCAGCTTCCCGAGTACAATAGAAGAAGAATCATAGCAATTTTCCACCACATAATGCTTAAGCTGTTTTGGGGAAATGGAGATGCTGCAGACTTCATATCACCAATCCTTTAAAAATTACAAAGAAAACAAATAGTAAGAAAGTTAATAAAGATGCTCAAGTACTTTCACTAATGCAGAAACTTCATATAGGAGTAATAGTAAACACTACCTGGATCCAGATGTAGCATAAATACATTTTTCATGACCTACAACATAAAAAAAACACAATGTAAATGTTAGAAAGGAATAACATTAAGTTTTCCATGCCTAAAAACTTCCCATAAGGTTCATCTTGAACTGGACATATTGGCCAGTGGCACAAGAATGCGGTTTTATATTCATATATTTGAGAAGAATACAATTATTAGATGAAAAGATAATGATCCAGGCCACTCACTGGGGTTGGTTTTAGTCAAGATAGCAGTTCCTCCAAAATTGCAAGCAATATCAGAATTACCATTCTGTTGGTAGTAGTGATTGAAAGCAAATGAAGCATGAGATAAAAGGGTATCGGGTTCAAAACACGGGCCACCGGCTTGGATCGGTCTGCAATCGGCCATTCCCAATCCACAAGCCCAGTCCAATGCATTCTGCAGATCAAATTGTAAAGCCCCGGCCCGTGCCACGCACCAAGTTGTCCCACCAAGGAATGTAGTGTTGCCTTCAGGAAATGGAATACCTGATTCCTCCTTCTCTTGCACCATCCCCTCTACTTCAACAACTATATATATATAAACACTAATTGAATCGAGGACTACACTTATATACATTGATAGTACTTTCTAAGAAGAGTTAAACATTTGTCATAGACATTCTATAAACCTTATCAAACTCTGACTATAATTAAACTATTTGAGCTAAAGCATATAGAACTATGTTGGACACCAAAAACGAAAATGAGTGTTTTCTTTAGTTGCTTTCCCCTACTAAAAAGAAGCTTTCCTCAGGCAAACAAGTTTATCCTTAATTTGCTTTGAGAGTTGTAACTCAGGACCCTGTTTGGGTAGTAACCAAATCTTTAACTCATATCCTTGACCATTAAAATGAAAAGAAAATCTTCAATTAACTTTTGGCTCCCCTTTTATCTTACTTGACTATTTGGGATGATCCAAAAAACTGAATCACAATCTTTCTTTCAGGTAAGGGAAATTTTCTATCTTCTTTTGATCTAAATAAGGTCAACCTCACAAACTATTTTATAGTGGCAACAAACAAATCCTTTTTAACTTTTGACCTTTACTCTTATTCTTTTCTTCGTTTGTAGAGCTAGCATTGATCACAAACTATTACATTCATCCATACATTTACCCACTTAATATTCTATTCTAAGATCATTAACAATGTTCATTTAACAAGCCAAAAAATCCCAGAGAATATTAATTAAGAAAAACATTGAGAAGTGTAAAACCTTAGTATAATCAGTCACTAACCGCAAATAAAGTTGGCACATTCTCCTAGACATTGTGGTAAAACAACAGTGAAACAGAACATTAAAGTTTAAATTGGCATATTTTTCCCTAAACAGTAAGAAAGCAGCACAAATAAAACATAGAAAAAACAAAAGTCTTAAGAATACAGTATAATCAATAATCAAGATAGTAAAAATTAATCACATAGACATGCACGATAGCAAGACTTGAAGGAAAAAAGGAACATTACCCACATAACATTTAATGACCAAAAAACTTAGAAAGATCCAAACTTTAATTGCCATTGGTGTAAAAATGGCTAAACCAACTTCTTCTCCTACTGAAGAGAAAAAGGAAACTGTGGACTATTCTTCCTCTTCCTCTTAGTTAAGGAAGAAGAGTGAAGTGTTATAATGCCACTTTTAATACCTGAAGAATCAAACCATTTCTTCAAGAGAAATTTTCCTTTCTATTTTATGTGTGTTTTCTTTTCTTTTTTCCTCTTTTTTGTGGAGTAGTGAACACTTAGGAAGCTAAGTACTTGTGCTGACAAGAGCTACTTTAAGCTAACTTCTTGCCTGGTGGACTTCACATTTTTATTTTTGTGTGGGTCCCATATAAAGGTCATCGGAACATCTTATTAGATGTGACTTGCCATTATTTCCTCACATATAATTTTTGGTTTAACTCCCTCAAATATTTACTGGGAAAAATGTTCATCATTGATTTCTTTTGGTAAAGTAGTTAAATAGATATGGCAGAAACTTAAAAGAAATTTTAGAATATATTTACTTCACCCTTAATTAGAGATAAAATAAAAATAAAAATAAAAATTCTAATAGAGATTATTTTCCTTTTTAATGAATCTTATGCGACTCAAATTAGGACTCTAATGCAGTAATTGGACAACGGATGAAAAAGCTAACTCCTACTTTACTCCATAACCTTAAATACGAGCCATGCTAACTCCTACTTTACCCCTTAATTTTAAAAAAAACGAGTGATATAACATTTTCTATTCAACATTGCAAGGACAGACACCCGACACCACGACCAAGTACCAACCAAACCTAAGTATATTTGCCAAGAAAAGAATAAATGTCCTGTTTTTCTAAAACTGAACTACCACGACTC